TACAGGAACTTTAAAAAAGTTCCAAACTGGAATGTGATGTAAATACGAAGAGAGATTTTATTGTAAACAAATTGGGAAAACAGAAACATTATTTAATTTTTATTATGTTAATCCATATTTAAACATTCTAGATCGATTTATTACCAACCGAAAAGTTCAAGGAAGAAAGAATTAGAATATATCACCGTATATTATGTTATATACACATTTTTAATTGGTCAATTAGTTTGTTAATTTCAGAAAACATAGACATGACAGCGATCAACTAGTTTTAGTAAAAAAGCAAAAGAAAAATATATGTACAGGAACTGGATCATCCAGTTGTACGAAAAAAAAATATACATATATTTACCAGACGCAGCAGCAACATACTGCATGGTCCAATTGCCCACAGCATTTTTGTCTTCTTTTCCTTCTTTTCCCTAAAAGAAACAGCTTTTATAGTCTTTATAACTAACTGTAAGTTAGTAATTGAACAGCCTGATTCATTTAGAAATGCACACCAGGAAAATTTGTTAGGTGGCGAGAACGCTGAATCTTGTAGATTTTTATTGTTGATGATTCATGAAAAGCAAGTTTATGCTACATCAGTTAAACTCGAAAGGAACTATGGCCACAAACTGTGGAAGTGTTAAATCTTGTTCGACAAGATATTGGAGGCAATCATTTCTTCGACATATAAGTCATATAACCTCACGCATAGAAGAAAATGGCGAACAATTTCAACAAATTACTATAACAGTCTATCGATTTTCAACTACAGTCCGTACGATATTTGTTGAGATATAATTTTAAGAAAACCCCTGCGCCACTTTCTTGGAATTAACCGCATTTGACACCTGTGGCGTTCATCGTAACAGCTTGTAGTGCATACTGTTTTTTTTTGTGTGACTGTAGTTAGTAGTGACTAATTACAGTCACTAAAATTTTAATATAAAGTTAATTACAGTTTAAAACATTTATATAATTAAAAGCCTTTTTTCTCGAAAACCGTCCACATTAGGAAGTTCTAACAAGAGTACCTACATTATTTTTAGAAAATAAAATTGTACATTATAAATTGGAGCCCGAATGGTAAAAAACCTAACCTTAAAAAAATTAGAACTTAAAATGTATAGGGAATGCAGCATAACTAGCGCCCTCTATGAAATATCCAAAAAATAATTAGACCAGCTTATTTGGCATCCTTAAAAACCCCGGAATACCAAATTTCATAAAAATATTTATCGAAGACAAGAAGAGATAGACATATAGTTCATAAGACAAAAAATTCTTATTTTTTGTCGTACTATCACCC